CGCTGTCTCACGCAGCCCCGCTCGCGTGGGCGCCGGTCCTTGCCGAGCGGGCGCTGTCTCACGCACGGGCGCTGCACCGCTCGCGTGGCTGCACCGCCGCCCGATCCTCGCGTGGCCATCGGTCCTTGCCGGGCGCTCTTCGCGGCCCTCAGTCCAGAGCCTCGCCCCCCGCCTAAGTCCGAAGGAGCTGTTCGGCCCGAGGGCCGGGCGCTCAGCGGCCCGCTCATCGCCCGCTCAGCGCCCGTTACCCGTTTCCCTCGGAAATAGTTTTTCTGTTTCTTTCCCTGTTTCCGGACGAAATTGACCATCAATTTCCGCCGAAAATAGAAAAATAAATAGAAAAACTATTTCCTTTGCTGAATACTAAGAATATAAGCGGTAAATATACCGCGAAAATAGCTAAGTATATACAAAATCTATTTCTTAACCTATTTACTTAGCTATATCTGCCGAAAATATTACAAAAAATTCCCTGTGGAATATAACCATATGCATGTGCAGCCTACTACTACTACTACGACGGTGTATTACTTTTGCCAGGGCCAAGGGCACGGGCCTTGGTAAAGTCATGTAGCTCTCTGAGAGTGCTCAAAGAGTATAGGTCGGAAGATGGGGTGTGCATTTGTAACGGTTGTGCCCACCATTGCAAGATGAACCCCCTGATGACCTTGCGTGCCAAACCTCCATCCGGCTCACTTGTCCCATAGGGCCCAGTGCAATCTTCAAACATTGGCACTATCCAGATTATGGTACGTTCACATATCTCCTATTACACCTATACTTATGCCACTTCGGAACATAGTGTTGTCACTTTGCAAATGTAAATGCACATCATGCTCCCTGCCAAACATGCATGGACTCTTGCCAGCAACCGTAGTTCTGGCCAAACGACCGTGAATGACCACGTAGCTACGCCATACATTCTTTATCACCCTTGCATCGGGATCGCGCATCCCCACATGCACTTGGCTGTCTAGCATCACAGAGGCCTCTACGGATGACCGTCTTGCCTATTGCAATGTTGTCAGCCGTGAGGTCAGAGATGAGGTTTATGCGTCTGCGCGCTATACTCTACCCAGGTGGGAGGTGAAAGGCAATCAGTATTGTGGGTGCGTCCTCTCCCTGATATGTACTTACACTGTGTGTCTCTGACTCTCTGTACGGTCATGCAGATACATGGTGTACACCACGTGCTGCCCAAGTGTAACATGCACTATCTCTGACGGAGCGCCAACTGCAACACCAAGACAGCCCCCAATGTCAAAGGAGATGCAGCGGGTCTTTGGGACCAGCTTGCAGACATCAAAGGCTGCGTCACTGACCTTGCTGCATTGGCACTTCACACATGACACACATTTGCGTTATAGCACCTTGTTGCGTTCAATCATGCCTGCCTTCAAACGGTGCCACGCTGGCACGGAGTCCACTCACGATGCCACACACCGTACCTCTACACCAGCGTTACTAGATACTGGATATAACCACATGCACGCGCAGCCCACTACAACAACAACAACAACTTTTGCCAGGGCCAAGGGCACGAGCCTTGGTCAAGTCATGTAGCTCTCTGGGTATGCTCAGAGAGTATAGGTCGGAAGAAGGGGTGTGCATCTATAACAATGGCAACTGGAGACCCAGCAACTCCTTCAACAATCTGTTCCCTAAGACCAAGGCCCGTACTGTCTTCTCCAAGCCATCTGACCCTGTGCTGTGTGAATTCTTCGACAACATCACAATAGCTCTTGAGTTGATGCAGAAGAACACGGTGGGCAAGAGCGATAGGTCAAAAAACATGATCACATTCTGTGAGTGGAAGGAGGCCAATTGCGTGACCCAAGGCCACCATACCCTCTTTACGGTGAGGTTAACTCTCGTCATTCAGCTGAGGGGAAAGCAAAGGTACCTGGCCGGGCACTGGCCTTTTCCAGTTCCTTATTTTACCGGCTGTTGTATCTGAGGGGAGCTTGTCCTGCCAGCAGCAATCGCTGCAATATAGTTGTCCACAGCTCGGACAGTGGACGTATCTTGAGGTACTACACTGTGGCTCCACGGTGCATGCAAATCAAAGAGCTCATCGAAAATGGAACTTAGATCATCAGGAGGAAGAAAACAATGTCCTCCTACAGATGTGAGCTCCCTTTCGCATCTGGCAGCTTTCTCTTGGGAATTTATGCCTCTCGTTTCACCAAGATTGTTACCTGTCGGGTCAACCTCCTCGTTGATGACCCAAGCGTCACACTAAAATTGCTGTCATCATCGTATTGGCCCACCCCGGCTTCGTGTACTTATGTCCGGCCAGCCTGCGTCACCGCGTGTTTGGGAATGGATATCTTAGGTGACCTCTTGGTTGAAGCAGTCATTGCTCCTGATGCATTTGGGAGTAAACGTGCACCGTTAGAGTTTTTCCAACCATTTCTGTGTCATGGAACAACCAACGGAAGTCCCAACTCCAATTGTCTTTGCGCGGCTCTGACCAAACACGATATGGCTCTCCACGTTGCTGCCGTGTTCAGCATCCACATTTTATTGTGGCTGGACGGTGACCGTTCTTGATGGGAATGTGGTGTTGTGGCATAGGCAATGAATCGATGGTGAGCCTAACTTGTCTTTTTGTCTTAGAATATTGCCCTTGACACCCATCTCTGTCTATTGTGCTTTTCGTACCGCTCAAGTATGCTTCCATGTACACTCACTTTAGCTCATCGCGTTGAATGCCCTCACCATCTCAAGCATTGATTGCAAGGATCATTTCCATCAACTATGTCCGCTGAATGTTTGCGTCGAGCTCGATCATCCCTGCTGGTTGATGGCGCGGCTCGAACCACCCGCCGCGGTCACGTCACCTCTTCTGACGGTGATGTTATGGCATCTTACAGAGCAAGGGGCAGCCCTCCAATTACGTGACATTGCCCCTGTACCTGGGCTGTCACAGCTCGCACCCCATCGATTGTCATGACTTGTGAGGATGATCTCCGCCCTGGCGTGGTAGCTGGCCTTCCGACAAGCTACTTGGCCGATGCGACCTATGTTTCCTCGGACGACAGCAACTATTTTGTCTGCTCGAGCGTCTCCTCCGACTCTTGTTCCAGCGACGTGGTATGCAATATGCCACCACACGACCTTGCCTTGACTGACCTGATGACCGCCAGGGTGGGATCACGGAGACTGCGGGTTCCTGCTCCCAGAAAGCTGTGGTCACTACCAAAATTGTGGACTTTTGCTCCGTGGCAGCTACGATCTCCACTGCAATCACAGCAACCACAGTTGAACACTCCAGTCTACCTGCTCGCCACATTTGCACGGTAAGGCCCCTTGCCCACGCTTCTCTGTGGCTTCGTGCTCATCTGCTGACATGTTTCCAGTTGCCGCTGTTTGGTCTTGCCGACTATGAGGACAGGAGCATCCAGCTCGAGGTAGCCAAGGACGAAGCCGTTGAGGCCAGGAAAGCGGTGGCCGCTGTGCAGGAGGAGAGTGTCCAGGCTCAGGAACACGCTGACGTTGCACAAAAGGTGTTGCTACAAGCACGGGGTGAGCTGATGCAGGCCCGTCAGCACCTGCAGCCCCTCGTACAGATGCTATCCCAGATTGAGGAAGACCTGCAGTGCCAAATATGCATGCAAATCATCAGATATCCTGTCATGTAGGTACTGCAACATCTTGAATGAATTTACAAGCTCATATCTTCTTCAGCCTCAAGTATGGCCATAGCTTCTGTCAGAGCTGCATCGCCACGTGGTTCGCGAACTCCTTGCAAGGTATTGCAGGATTCACGGTCTACCTATTTACGAACCAGCACAAATCCGTCACCTTCAGGCATTCAATAATTTTGCCATTCCGGAAAGTCTGCAACATGTAGCTGATGACATCAAAGTCAATATGTTACTCTCCCCAGTGCTCCGGATTGTCTTGTCCACGGTATTGCATGTTCGTTCGATGCCAGAATACAGCTGTCCCTCATGTCGTCAACCAGTGAGCTAATATTGTACTCATACCATGACATTACTAATGTATCTAACTCGCAGGTCACGATGCAGCCTAACTTGAACCATGCTGTGGCTAGGGTCATTACGTGTTTCCCCTCCGGGCGATGCAATACTCCGGAGAGCCCTTGGCATGATCCAGGTATAGATGTACTCTGTAATTTCTTCCCTGAGCCTTTGAGACTTTATGAAGCCATATGAACTGAGCCCTGCACTAGTGTGACCCAGATTGACTGGCTTGTATTTATGCATAAGAAATGTATGCAACTCATCATCCTAATACTGACCATCACACTTGTATCTCCGAAGTGACCAAACAAAAATGATTTCTTTCCATCGTCTCTTGAGCTCCTTTGAAGTGCTGAGCACCATAGCCTAGTTGTACTCAGCACGCTGTCATCAGAACTCAATGCTGGGTGCCATCTATATACAACCTCACTGCAAATCATCATGGTTCAAGCATCAGGTAATGAGCACATGCTATCTCGTGTACAAGCTCACACCATTCATGATCTTGTAGTATACACGGCTCCTACAGTGTACACAGGGGTTGTAGGGTCTCTCATGGCATAGTTGTACACGCAGTAAGATGGAACCTGCATAGGTGTACACAGAATGTGGCAGAAGCCTACACCAACGTGCAGGCACGTATACCACACGACCGTGTCATTTCACCAAGTACATACACGATATGAGGAAAAGCCCACTGCGTAAGCTGTACACGCTTGCAGTACAAACTGTCAAATCAAACCAACCCACAGAAACACATGGCTACCCACCGGCTGGATAGTCTAGATCGGTGGCAGTGCATAGCCCCAGCGAAGGCCACAACGTGAGCAACGGTGGTAATGAAGGACGTCGAAGGTGGCACACATCTGACATGTTATTCAAGGGCAATCGCGCATGGTGGGGGGTTGGGCGCTGCAACAGATACCGGGAGATTCCAGGTCGCATAGCACACAGTACAGGATGTGTAGCAGGCAGTGCAAATCTTGAGCGTGAGAAAGCGAGGGAGACCGCTGTACGGCATGTTCATCAAGGGCCTCGAACGTCAAACATCGGGTTATGCACCCCTTGCCGTCCTTTAACCAAAGGGCATGCTGGGGCGGATCGTAGTCCCATCGGTGAGTGACGTAGGCTATACTCCCTGCTCTTACTCACCCCCTCCTGACTCTAGTGTCCCACCTCCGAACACCTGTGCATAAACCATGACACTTCACAACTGGACTCGTTATACCCGGCTTGTGGCGGCCCAGTGCTGTCACATACCTCCGTGTCATCGACCTCAGGCTTCTCTTTCTCCGAAGTTCTTCCTGGCTAAATTGTTTGCAAGGGCATGGGTTCACACAACAGCAAGCGAGCACGAGAGCGCGGTGGAAAGAAGACACCCAGAGACTGCCGTGTGTCATGGCACGCCTCCAGTATTTCTTTTTCTCTGTTTCCTCACATTCCCCACACGCTCCTTTTACCCTTTCAGGTTTCCTAGGAGCTCCTAGATGCTCCTCCTACTCGTTCAGGCTTCCTAGGAGCCCCCATACATTTTTCTATCCTTTCGGGTCTCCTAGGACCTCTGCACAACGTGCGGCCCTCCGTTCCACGAGTCATGTGCTCCGAGGACCCTCCCCTTCTCTCATTGGACTATCTCTCATTGCGCTGATGGATTATTCAGCTACTATATAGTCACCTGTTGCACCAGGGAGCAACCCAGACTTGTTCTCTCAGTTGCCTCCCTGCCTTGTGCGACAGGTATGTATATTTTCCTTTGTACGTCGTATATATACTCAGTTGCCTCCCTGCCTTGTGCAACAGCATCTCCACCGCCATCCCGAGGGATCTGCGCCACTCCTAGGATCTCCAGTGCATACTCTGACACTGTGCAGCACATTCATCAAGGGCCTCAAACATTGAACATCGGGTTATGTGCCCCTCGCCATCCTTTAACTGAAGGGCACGCCGGGGCGGATCATAGTCCCATCAGTGAGTGACGTAGGCTATACTCCCTGCTCCTACTCACCCCCTCCCAACTCTAGTGTCCTGCCTCTGAACGCCAGCACATGACCACAGTGCTTCCCGACTGGACTCGCTATGCATCGAGCTCATCGCGGCTCTGTGCGATGACAGTTTCTGGTGCCAATGCCATCGGCCACAACATATTCTTTCATCTCCCGTGTCCGATAGAGACGGCATGGTAGACTGGCGGGTGCACTCAAAAGGGAGTTGTACACGGTGGAACAATCGAGTGGGGGGGGCACTGATATCTTGGTGAGTCATTATACTTTGTATCGCCCTATGCTCATTCTCATCACGCCGTTCAATGCAGCCACTGTCATGCCACCCTCACATCCCAGGTTTTGCACTGCTTCAAGCACTTCTCCGTCACCTAATCCACCTTCCATCACGTTCATGTGAAATGCGGCATGGCCACGTCATCAACTCGTTTTCCATTCAAACACAACGCTCGGCGCAATCCATACACAAAGCCATTTCCATTCGCTATCCCACTCATCATCAGTCTCGCAGTGTTCTTCGGGAGGTGTTCCACAGATATATGGTTGTACATGTGGCAAGATGTAGCAGTGCCGATAATGAACATATGCTATCTACTGTGTCTGTACATGTGACTTCTTGAATGGGAGATTGCCCCTGTGCCAGCAGTTGTACAGGCTCAGATGTATTGACCAATGTGCCATGTACAGGCTCAGATGTATTGACCATGTGCCGTGTACAGGCTCAGATGTATTGACCATGTGCCGTGTACAGGTAACTATTGGGTTGTGCTTATGTGCTGTGTACAAGGGACAGTGCCATGTACAGTGGACTATGTGCTGTGTACATGTGACGATTGGGTGGCCATTATGTGCCCTGTACAGGGGACTTCCCTGTACAGGCTTGTGTCTTTGTCATGACTTTGGGTACAATCCAACTCAAACATAACCAGTCCCCTGTACATATTTGGCTCCCAGGGCTGGTACTGAGAGGCATGCCAGCGGCAGGAGACCAGACAAACAGGAGGCTTGGGCCCCAACGGTGTGTGCATGTCCCGCCTCACCCCTTGCGCAGCTCTCCCTCTCTGTCGTCCACCCACCATGGCCGCCACCGCCGCCAGTGCCAGCAGCAAGAGTGCCAACCACAATGCAAACCGCCCAACCTCGATTGATCTCTTGCTCAAACTCAAATGGCAGCTCGACTTGATCAACTTGCTGTTTGCATGGCCAGCCCCACTCAAAGGGCAGCTCGACTTGATCGACTCGCCGTTTGCATGACCGGCCCCACTCCACTCCCCGCAAGCAGGGCGTCGAGATGACACCGGAGCAGGCTGCAGTCACTCAACCTGCACGTCTTTGGCTTGATCGTGATGCCCTGGCGTGTGTAGCTACGTAGCTACACACATGTAGCTACACACGCCAGGCTCACACCACACTTACAGGTGTGCATGTTTTTGTGTACATATCGTAACTGTAACTATCTCACATGTTTTGTTAATCTTCATGATGAATTGCAACCCGGGACGAGTGATCACAATAGACACATAACACTAGCTAGATGTAGCGCACCACAATGTGCCCAGAGTGGACTAAGCCGCCACCAGAAGAGATCATATAGCTTTCTAGCCAATCAATAAGCAGCAATGTCCTTGAGGAGATGTTCAAGGTTAAATAACGGGCCATGTGGCCTGCTGCCCAAACCCTGTATGCGAGGCACCTTTTGACCAGATATATGCAGAGATGACTTGGCTGGGTGGCATTGTCCTGCCGCATTGAAGGCCTGGGACGAGCAACCAGTATGGTGACGACGATGGGACCGTAGAGCTGCAAAGCAGAGAGATTCCGGGGGAATGCTTGTAATCCATACCACCACTGCCAGCCGGAAGCGGCATCATGTCGGCGCCGAGCCTCCACTACCAGCCCGCGACAGCCTATGTTTATTTGCAGTGGTGCGCAAACATGGCTCTGGCACAGCACGGAGATGTCGGACATTGTCCGTTCTTCGGTCTTACTTAGTTCGGTCAGTGTACGGTCAACATGAATTGAACACGCGACTCGCCTGGACTTGAAATCTAGGGCCGGTTGAAACCTCAGTCGATATTTCAAGTATACATTTGTGTTAAAACCAATTCTGGATTTTTCACGCCCAATAAGTCTAGATTGTAGATGATACGTCATGTGCGAGTTTGGGACATAATGGAGTTGGCATTTATAATCCCACATTGGGTTTATTCTTATGGTAACGTACATGACTCCGACGCGGTGTAGACTACAAATTCAAGTTACAATCTAAGCTGTATTTGGTCCTTGGTCTCAATATCTACGGCAGATTGGTGTTGAAAAATTAATCCAAACCGGGTTCGTAATGTGGAACCCTGGCAGTAAATACCTGTTACAAAGGTAAACTGCAGCCTAGTTTCAAGAAACCTAACAGGGGACGCGGTCAGTGTCAATCCTCTACTGCGAGTCCGTGTGGACAAAGGTTTAGTATTAGCTACCTAACAGGAGACGCAGTCAGCGTTGATCCTGTACGGTATTACATGAGCTATGCACGACAGGTATATCACAGGCTGTTCTCACCTCTACCGCGAGTCCGTGTGGACAAAGGTAGAGGTTGGAGACGTCAACCGCACGGGCTATGACAGAGCCCGGCGGTTGCTGGTGTGGGGTTAGGGGGCGGTGTTGCGCCCATGGTCCTCAATCCTTGATACTCCTCCTCAATGCAGCCTGCACTCTCCATGACTCCTCCTTAACCCAGCTCCTCCAACTCCGATCCAGGTAGAGACACCCCAAGACGTTTCTGTAGTCGAATGAAGGCAGGCGCAGGCAGAGCTTTGGTGAGAATGTCGGTGATGTTATCAGCGGAGTGGACATAAGTGAGGTATACGTCG